TTTGTTTATTTTTTGGTTTTTTTTTTTTTTTTTTTTTTTTTTTTAATATAGTGGTCTATATGAAAATAAGCTTTGGACACAGGAAAGCCATTTTTCTTGTTGAAGCGTCTTGCAGAAAATTGAAACTTAAGGCTTCTTTTGATAACTGTTTGTAACAAATAGTGACCTCGAGTCTTGCTCTGATGTAAAATAATGCTCAGTATGTGTACTTTTTAAAACTGTCAGGGTATGTCAATTTTCTTGGTATTTTTGCAGGCAACAATAGGACAAAGGCAAGAGTGAGAGCTCGGAGGCCTATATTTTATTGTTTTAAAACATGACAAATGAAGCAGATATATATATTTACCCCAGCACTTGGCAGTCTTTTATTGCAATGGACCTTTGTCTCTTTTCTCTGATAGCTAATAGTGTGGTCTTTAATCATGTTGTTTAATCCATGCAAGCATCTCGGTAACATTTTGATTTAATGCTCTATTTTAGTATTACTTGATAATTCCTTCTTTTTTTTAATCATATTTTGTCTCACTGTCATCTTGGTATAGCATTTTTGCTTCCCAAATGGTTATTTGAACTGTTTAAACTTTTTTTTTGTTTGTTTTGTTTTGTTTTTTTAAGAAAAATAAAAAGGAACCATTGGCTCTTTTGGTCATTGTGTGGTGGAAAGACCAGACCTAGAAGTGCCAGATGTTACGGTCTGTGTGTCCTCCCTCGAGAATGTAAGTATCAATGGACATGAGTACAAAAAAGTTCAGCTTCAAACAGCTTAAGAATTGATGAGCAATTAGAAGTCCAAAAGCACAGAATGCTTGAGGCTACATTTGTAGAGTGTTATTGCAGTGATAATAATAAGAGAAATCTACCTCGTCTGAATATAAAAACCTTTCAGCTGGGTAGTAACAAGCTGATTTCAAGGGTGAGATGTGTGTAAAAATGGTCAGGAACAGATTTGATGTTGTAAAAACTCGTCAAATCTTTCCTGATGAAAGAAGCAAGATCAAAGGAAAAGTCTATTAATAGACTGACTCTGAATTGTGTCTCTTCATTGTCCCTATCTCTAGTAAAATAGCGCCACCGTGTGTTCGTGTTGGATTAACAAGATGTGGAAAAGCGGTGCTGCAAGCGATGAGGTTAGACATTTAGTGTAATGGCTCAGAAAGGTAATGTGCAGTCTCACATTACCAGGCTGTTTTGAGTTTATCACTTTAAATGTGAGGTTCACACAGTGGTCAGTGTGCGACTTGTCCAAAGCTCCAGTGCACAAACGCCAGAATGAACTTCTCAATGAAGTAGGAGACCGCTTGTGTCCAGCAGATACAATTGTATGCACTTCAGTGTAACACTTCTGCATTAACATCTGTGTTTATGAAGCTCAAAATGTTTTTGAAATTGTCACAAATGTATAAATTCAATTATGTTTATTATTGAGGTCCTAGTCAAAGGCAGCGTTGTACTGGACTACAGTATATTCAGACCCTCTCGTATGTAGCTGGGCAGGACAAAAATAGACACCTCTGAATACAACATAGTCCAGTACAACACTGCCTTTAACTAGGACCTCAATAATAAACACATAATTGAATTTGTACATTTGACAGTTTCACCAAAAACAATGTGAACTTCATGAACACAGATGTTAAGATGGAAGTGTTGCATTGAATTGTACAGGTGTACCTACTCAAGTGGCCAGTGTGCGTAACTTGACGTGCAGAGGTATGGCTCTCTGGCGTTTTAGTAGTTTCTGGATAACAATGGAAGTCTGCGGTACAGAATAAGCTAAACCAGGATTCACAGATACCACGGTGAGTACTCATTTGTTTTTGGTTTTTTTGTCTATGGGTTGTTCACATTCACATTCTCCTCTGGGTGGGTTCACCAGCACGGGCGACCGTTCACTTTAGCTGACACATTGCTATTTAAAAAAAAAAAAAAAAAGATTATAGCCACTTGTAATATAAAGATCAACTTTATATAGTGCTGCTAAATTAAAACCAAGGAAGTGCTTCAGGTCATACACAAAACATTTTCAAGAGTTTAGCATCAACAGTGATATGGTTTTTCTATCTGTTATTAATTGTGCTGTAAGATACAAGCTGCGTTCACATTTGATGCTGAGCTTAGTCACCTTGGTCTTTGTGTATGTGCAAAGTATCCAACAATGAGAAAACAGCAAGCATTTGTAAAACCTATTTTACTGAATTACATTGAATCACTTCATACATATTAAGGTATTATTTAGTGGACATCCATAAGAAAATGGACCAGCAGACAAATACTTAAGGCACAGGCATCTTTAGTTTCTTTTCTTCTCAGTCCTTCCTCGGTGGATTAGTTCTTTCACAATGAGGTTGAGCCACACAAAACTTGCAATACAATTACTTGTAAAATCCTTCTCCTGTCTTTTTGCCACATTTGCCCTCTGCAACCAACTTGTTCAGGAGTTCACTCTGGGCAAAGAGCGGGTTGCCAGGATCCTTTGCATTCCAACCTGCAAACATGCATCAACACAAAGGAGCAGGACTTAACACTTAATTTATCTGTTGGTTGAGAAAAGCATAGTTTCTCCTTCCTTACTAGCTGCCACACTTTTAAATGAAAATCATTTCCACACCTATTTTCCTACGAAAGTGCATTGCATTCACCAAAGAAAAAGAAATATGGAGGATCTTATCTCATAATTATGACTTACCATCTCGTAATTACGAGATCCAGATCTCACAATTGAATTTTTTTTTCTTGTCATGAGATAATGCAGGGGTTGGAATGTTGCAGTAATTCAATGACAGTTGTGAACTTAATATCTAATTCAGCATACTTAATGTTCCAAAATATAAACTACAAATGGGCTTTAAAGTCGCTACCTACAATGTAACTCACCACGCTAAATGTACTGAGCAGGAGCTAGAACGCTTTTTAAGATTTCTTCAGTATTAATGCAATTCTGTCAGTACAGCAAAATAAACTAATAGCTAATTTGGCATACTTAGTGCTCCAAAAGGTAAACAAAAACAGCCTAGGCTAAAAACGGCAGCCACATTGTAATACTGTAACCATGGCAACATTAAATAGCCTACAAGCCTATTTCCTGTTTCTCGTCAAAGTTTAAATCTCTTCACACGATTCATGATTGTTACATTTGTTTAGTCATAATTACTAGATCTTGTAACAGGCTAGGTTAAGGTTGCTAAGAAGACAGAGGCCTCATAAACCACCTGGTTTACCTGTCTAGGTCCTACAGGCTAGTAGGATATTTATAGCCTATAATGAATATGAACTTATTTTCTTTAGTATTTTGGAAAATGTCATTCAACGTTAAAGGTTCAATCCTGTACAGACTGTTCTGAAACAGCATGTATAATGTTGATATAGATAAGTTACTGTGGGCTGCAGCTAAGGCACGTTTTAGAACACTAAGTACGTCAAGTATCGGTTAACTTTTGCTATGTGCTACTGTATGTACTGACAGAATTGTTAATACTGAAGAAATCTTAAAAACCCAGTGTTTCTCAGGCAGGTCCTGAAACTTTCCAGCTCCTCCTCAGTACCTATATGCCTAGTGAGTTCCACTCTAAGCAGCAACTTCGAAATCTGTATGTAGCCTATATTTAGTTATGTTGTAGAACATTAACAGTTCACATGTATCACAGTTACTTTGATACTAAAGAATCCATTTTCAGGCAAATTCTGCAACATTCCAATCCCTGATTTATCTCATAATTATGAGAAAAGACCTCGTAATTATGAGATCAGAATACAGTAAGTCATAATTACAAGATTAAATTCTTTTCTTTGGTGAAGGCAGTATGCTTCCATATTTTCCATATAGTTTTACTTACCATCTACAATGAACTTGATTGTGTCTAGTCCTACATAGTCCGCAAGTTCGAACGGTCCCATGGGGTAACCAGCACCAAGTTTCATGGCAATATCAATGTCCTCTTTGGATCCATGACCTGAGGAGGGAAAACAAACAAAAAAAACTATTTTAACTGTGCAAAGCTACTGAAATAATCAAAAACTAGGAAGTAACAAAGGCATGTTGAATCAGAGCTCCAATATTTGCCAGAATTTTTATATTTCCACTTCAAAAAGTTACAGGCGTGTGATCATGGTGAATGATCCCAATTCAATCAATTTTACTTCGAACTGGTGATCATGCAGGTATACAGACCTCTCTCATGCAACCGGATGGCCTCCATCATGTAAGGAACAAGTAGGCGGTTTACAAGGAACCCTGGTGTATCCTAAATAAAGAAATGTTGGATACTGCTGAATTGGCAGTTTTTGATTTGTATGAGACTACAACTATATTGACATCAGACAGTAAAACCTTGCCTTGCAGGACACTGGCACTTTTCCCATCGCTTTGCTGAAGTTCAGAAGGGAATCAAATGTCTCTTGGCTTGTTGCTGAGGTTGCAATGACCTGTGGAGGATGAACACTTAAGCATCGTGAACTCTTGTGAAGTGTTACCTGTATAATGCCTTGTACTTATATGATTAAGAGTCACACTGTCTACATTACACCAGGCTGTGACTCTCTACTACATTATTGTAGGGCATACTTCTGTCCCTCTTTAAGCTGAAAAAGGAAGAGCACAGAGGTATACAGGTAACTTTTAATTATCATTGAACAGTAACATGTTGGCTAATTTGCTCATTCACTTTTTTTTTTTTTTTTTACCAAGAGCTGGAGTAGAAGCTTAATATCACTCCCATATGACCTACCATGAGCAGTCAGTTATTGTAGCTTAGCATACAGACTGAAAACACAGGAGAGCAGCTAGCCTGGTTCTCTCCAATGGTAGAACAATCCACCTACCAACAACTCTAAAAGCCCACTAATAAAACATGTTCTATTTCATTTATTTAATCCATACAGGAAATGCAAGCCATAATGCTTCAGCGGTGCAGCAAGACTGATTTTGTTCATTTTGAACAGTGCCAGGCTGCGGTCTTCTTGTTTCTGGTCTTTGTGCTAAGTTAAGATCAGCTGCTGCCCACAACAGCACCATAAGACACCAGAGTTAATCTTTTCAGTTAACTCAGTTGCAGCTGGTCTATAGAGTGCGCACGTGCAGCAGCTCACGCAGAATTCAGTCAACAAATTACATTGTTAAAAATTTTAATGAACAAATAAAATGAAAAATCGAGGTGACGATAGTGTTAATCATTTTAGAAACCCTGTTAAACTTTCTCTACAGAGAGTCCAGCTGTGTCTTTTGTTGCCAACTGCCATTACATCTCTTTTCCAGCTGAGGTTTAATAAATTCAGTCACTGTGTTTTTGGGGCCCTACCTCCACAAGCTTCATCATAGGGACTGGGTTGAAGAAGTGAAGGCCACCGAATCTGTCCAGCCTGCTGGTGGAGCTGGCAATGTCAGAGATGGGCAGAGAGGATGTGTTGCTGGCAAAGATGGTGTGTCTAAAACACGGAGTGCAGAAAAACAGAGTAGGCAACACAGTTCATTACCATAGGCAGATATGAGCCTTTCAGCACTTTCTATTTCACTGTCCTCTAAGAAGCCACATCCCTTTTACACCAGAACTGGAAAGTGAAATGGTTTTGGAAATGGGCTTCATTCAGAAATTTAGAAAATTGATAACTTAACCAGAACATGTTGTAGGTAACAACAAACATACAGCACCATAGAAACCAATACAAACAGTAACCAAATGTTGCATCTGGTTGATATGAAACCTTTGCTACGCCGTCGCCACACTCACTTCTGATTTAACAGATTTAGTCGAGAAAGCAAACAGAAATGGTAAAGTGCTTACGCTGGTGCCAGCTTGTCAAGCCGACCAAAAAGGTCCTGTTTGATTTTTAGATTTTCCACAATGGCCTCCAACACAAGATCCGAATCCTGAACAGCGGAGCCAGCATCTGTCGAAGTCGACACATTCTGTAGGACTTTCTGGATGAACTCTTCACCTGCCTGGATCAAAACAAATACAGCATCGTCCATTAACTGTGCACATCCCACTCATCTGGCTGCATATTTTGTCTGGTGACCCGCCGCGTCTCACCTCCGGCTTATCAGCAAACTTCTTCTTGACCACTCTTTTAAGGCTCCCTTCAATTCCCTTTACAGACTTTTTCAGGATGTCGTCAGATGTGTCCACCAGCTTCACAGAGTGGCCAGTAGATGCAGCAACCTTCCAGAAAGACATGAGTTCAAGATAAGTAACTACAGCAGGAAGTGGAGGAGAAACACAGTGCGAGTGGCGGTGAAACAGCCTGACAGAGAACAAAACTGTGCAGTATGTTGGTTTTACATGTACTAAATAATTGTAACACTTCAAATTACAAATAATGGGTTACTAAAGACTGTGTCTGAAAAGGGACTACAAATTAACTTTTAGGCTATAGTACAATATAAAGTTAATTTTTGTAATCAAATAATTGCTTTAGTTATTTTTAAGCAGAAATGCCAAGTAGTGGCTGGTTCCAGCTTCTCAAATGTAAGGAAGCGATGCTTTTCTTTCCAGTACATGACAATAAACAGAATATCTTTGGGGATTTCGCTGTTGGTTGGACTGAAAAGACATTTAAAAACATCACCTTGGCCTATGGGAAATTCTAACAGACATTTCAAATAATGATTTTATGACATTTTATAGACAAATGAATAACCAACAGATTAGCACCAATTATTTAGATACAGAGGTGCTGTTTGGTGGGATTCAAACATATGTCATATCATTAACATATCACTTTACTCCCACACAAATCGATAATCTTGTTGATAGTACTGCAGCCTTCCTGCGTAATACACTTGATACCATTGCCCCTCTGAAAAAGAAGGTAGTGAAACAGAGGAGGCTAGCCCCGTGGTACAGCTCGCAGCTCCGCTCCCTAAAGCAGGCATCATGAAAAATGGAAAGGAGGTGGCGCTCCACTAAGTCAGAAGAGTTTTTCATAGCCTGGAAAGATAGTTTAATAACATATAAGAAAGCCCTTCGTATTGCCAGAACCGCATTTTATTTATCACTGATTGAGGAAAATAAGAACAACCCCAGGTTTCTTTTCAGCACTGTAGCCAGGCTGACAAAGAGCCACAGTGCTGTTGAGCTTAACATTCCCTTAGATCTCAGCAGCAATGACTTCATGAGCTTCTTTACAAATAAAATCACAACTATTAGAGAAAAAAATTGGTCGGACCACTCCCACAGCTCTCACAGATGTGCCATCTACTACAGTGGCTTTAGAAACATCTGTAAGACCTCATTTATACTTGGACTACTTCTCCCCTATAGATCTCTCTGAGTTGACCTCAACAATTGCTTCATCTAAATCATCAACATGTCTCCTGGACCCCATCCCGACCAGGCTGCTCAAAGACATCTTTCCCCTAATCAACACATCCATACTAGATCTGATTAACCTCTCTCTATTAACAAGTTATGTTCCACAGGCTTTTAA